CCCCAAAACCCCAAAACCCCAAAACCCCAAAAGTTTATTTTTAAGTATCATTTAAATCAGAGAATTAGGAAATTAAAAAATATTAAAATTAAGAGATATTAAAATCAGCGATCGAGCCATCTAAAAAGTATGGAAACATTATCTCAGAATAGCAAATTAACTTTAAATGATACATTAGATCATAACCTAGCTAGTGTGCTTTTGCCCTACCTTACTCTAAATGATTATATCTCTGGAGTTTATCGCATTAATAAGATGTTCTCTTCATTTTACAAAAAAGGTGCTGACTTTATTTGGAAAACATTGTTCGAGTTGGAATTCCATGATAAAGAATACCCTGATCACAAGATAGAAGAAGGAGAGTCGTGGCATTCATACTTTAAAAGATCATTTGAGATGTATAAGAAATTTAGAAGAATATGGGCAGGCATCATAACTATGAGTAACAGAAAGAGTGTTGAAAGTCAAGATGGGTATCTCAGAGACTTTAATGATAGAACCACCGAAAAATACCCATTGTTCTAATTAGAGGTATTTTATAAGGTCTTTCGAGATCCTGCTTAGATCAAGGATATTGAAGATGTCTATTCAGGTGGAAATTTTTATGAATCTTTGCAGAATTTCGTTCTGCATACAACAGAATTTTATGAGTACGAGTTAGAGGTATTGATGCTATCACCAGCTTCATTGCTAATTCTTTAGAATATTATTAATGTACATTTGGGAATCTTAGTTTATCCAATCCTGCATACTAAGAATTATAAGCATTCAGTAATTTTAGACTATCAAAATCTATTCAATTAAGGAGTTGGAGCCTTAATCTCATGGGGAGGTCCAGATAGATCTTAAGTCTAAGTCCTTGGTTTAGACTTAATGAATTTCCTTGAAGATCACTATGATAAATTGGAAAGAAATCAATTTTTTAGTGCAAACTCAAGGATTGAATCATTTTTTAACCCTGTTTAAGGCAGAGAGATAAGATAGCTTAGTGTTGCAGTGACAAATGGTATCAGAATAGAAGCATGTGCTAAGTATATACATCATTTCAGTATATTTGATTTGCAATATCACTCGTAGCGAAGATATTACTTTACATATTAGATTCGAGTCATGGTAGATCCTGATCATGAGGGCGAGTTTGATGATTGCTAGTTAACTGTAAGTTATACTTCATGCACAATCAATAACCTTTTATTTAGACTCGTCACTGGGAGATCTATACAGCTAATAGTTCAGTACCTGAGGTAGTTGACGGTGCTGGTGTTATCGGCTTGTTTCCTCACATCAGGAAAAATGGTTAAATCTTTTCTTACCAAAGTGCAACATACCAAACAGAATTAGGAGGCAGAATGTAAGGCTGGTTTGAATTCAAATACCTAAAAGGAGAGAAAAAAGGTGAAACATTCAAAGCTACGATTGAACCTTTCGAACTAAGCTTAGATGAAGGGACTAAACTAATCCAAAATCCCATATTTGAACCGTGGATGCATCAGCTTTGAGCACTTAGATTAAAAAATACTAAGGAAGTTATAATCAAATTAAACTAAAAATTCTATCACAATTATGTCTAATTCTAATATATTGATACCAATCTAGCAATAGATTAATATTTGGATTGGTGTTGGGGTTTTGGGGTTTTGGGG